TTATCGTAACTGAAAGGCCACACGTTCGTCGATGCTGTAGGTTGAGAGTATTTTATTCTCTTCGGACTGTTTCAAAGAGTTCTGCACTGACGCAGCTTAGTACTTTGTGTATAGATCTTGGTTGACGTTCACTATTTGTGGCTCACCGTTTGTGGCAATGTATTGACTCACCTAGGAGTGATGATGGAGTGAATGGAGAATAATGATAATAATAATTTATCATCAACTAACAGTCTGTTACATGAGGTATGCCAGTTTACAGGCTAGATCGATTTGTTACAGAAGATACAGTCTTCACTATTGGGTTTCTTAGTTTGATATTTTATCGGCTACACTGATCATAAAAGTATTGGGCATAATACTTCTCACATATGAATGGAATGATACCAGTTAGATCCGTATTATCGATGCGACAATTGGCGCGCTTTATGGAGGTTGCGTTGCGACGTGCGACTGATAGTCGAAATTAAATCCACGTAAATTTGATGACGTCGATAAACTGCAACATTATACCCCTCTAAGACATCCGATGCATCAATGATGGCGCAGGACGAAGTCACTCGATCCATGTGCGCTATCGGTGGCATATGGTAAGAAAAAAAGGACGAAAAGGAGAGCAGGAAACGTTCAAGCGCATTGAAATTGAGTCATTTGTGGTGAACTAGTGAAGGTACTACTACTTGATTTTATTTCAAGCACTCATTTATTCATGCAAACTGTACGATGGAAAGCGATGAAGATGTACTAGATAAAATAGCATCGATTACGAGCGTTGATATAACTCAAGATATGCAGAGTATGTTATGACAATGATACAGAGACTCGACGAAATTATAAATACATAGTCATTCACACAAACACACACGTAATGTGTATATGTACAGTTACAAGGTCACGAATACAAGGGGCATATATAGTAAGAATCACAATGTCCTATGGAGAGAGTAGTTATTAAGAGGATAAAGAAGATAAAGTTATTAAAGTGTATCCGAGAGCAAGGATAAACTACGTGTGTAATGGGACTACGTACTACATTTATACTTTGGTGGACATATATGCACTTATTTTGGAAGCTGTGTTGTCTAGACGACCATAAGTTTCTAAAAGCCGATTCTCAGACCACATGGTCTTCAGGTTGCGATTTGCCATTGGTTCATTGTGAGAATAAGATGAGTGCACTGAAGTTTTACTGGCGTTATATTTATCCACTTTTGCCCGTTCAGTGCAGATGCAGGAACATTCGCCCACGTTGATAAGGCTTATCTACAACTTAGATACGTTTCCCGAGAATTCCAGGCCGGCCTGTAGTGTACATACGTAACCACCCGTCGTCACGTCTTGTCAGATTTAGACGTTATCAACGTGATGTAGCATTGGTGTTTTAACAGTACGCTAGACCCCATCCACACAGCACCATAAGTTAAGTATCAAGAAAGGAGCCTTACTGAACTCCGCTAAGTACTAGTTACTATGATAAACATGTAGAGTGTCAGCATTTATTAATGTGGATAAACGACTTCCTAGTTGGTCACTAAATAAGAGTACGGGATAACTCAAATATTCTAGCTATGAAACTGCTTAACGGACTGCCTCAGGGTACAGTTTTGAGGCAGTTGTTGTTCCTCCTGTACATAAATGACCTTTCTTGTTTCCTATCATCGGTTTTGTTACATAATAAAAATAACAAGATGTACAGAGTGATAAGAAACAAAGGTGATAATTAAGAGTTTCAAAACGAATTAGTGAAATTGACTGAACGGTCTAAAATTTGGCAGTTGCCGATAATATCTTCCAAGTGCATTATTATACATATGGTCACCAAGGTCAATATACGTACATGGCGAATATAAGCAAGATACCCGTTACCCAGACCCACAACGACTTGGGAGTCATCGGAAGTCAGGACTTAAAAGCTACTGCACACAGTCGTGCGATAGCCGTCAAAAGTTTTAGAACTCTATAGTCAATTGGTAGCTCCTTTAGTCACGTCGATACTAGAAACCTTTTAGAATCTGTACACAGTATTCGCTCATCCTAAACTCGAGTACTGCACATAAGTGGCTAGCTCCTGTCTATAAAGAGATAGAGATCTGTTTGAAAAGATCAAAAGAACCGCAACTAAAATGGTTCCAGAATAGTGCTCTCGTATGATGCACCACTGTTTAAACTAAACCTATTTCCATCATCATATTGAAGAACCAGAGAGGCTTGATCACAGTTTTTAGATTATCTAGTAGTCAGTTCACATCTGAAGTTCCCTCTTTTTTCTTGTCTTCCAATAAAAGAATTTACAAGAACGGTTTACAAATGTTCACAAGTTCGGAACAAATTACTTGTCAACTGACTATCAACTTTCTTATCGAATCATCAACGTATGGAATTTAAATAGCTCGAGTAGTTCAAATGGTTTTGGACGGAATAGTAGAAGCTTGCTCTTAACGGGCTTCTGTGTCTAGTAGCAGTGGGTCACTGATACCGCCAGGTAAGAACCTGTATATCGAGAGGAAAAGTTGATAAGTCATAGAAAGATACTATCTTTCCCTAGAACATGCCAAGTTTCTCTAAATGACCTTGGGAAGTCGCTTGGACCAGTTCAGCCGTCAGTAAATTCAGCATTTGACTCTCAAGGAGTAGAAATAGTCTACACTCTGTTCCTTGTTTGTCTCCAGTTTGCCCTAATTGATGGGACTAAGAATTTCTGTTAGGGGATATCCGAACGGTTTAGGATGCTGTACTCATAGGTCATCTCTGAGATGCCTATACTAATGGTAAAGGTTCATTGGTTGAAGCTCTTCAAGACTTGAATTGAATCCCCAAATGATTTCGTGGCTCGCCTTGTTTGGAGTGAGGTAGAAATACACGTTTCCGTAATCATGGGATGACAAAACTTCAAAGATTGTGTGGAAAGTTCTTCATTAACTAGCTGCAAATGCGCTTAACGTACCAGTGAAAGTTTGCTTGGAGACTTTTGTTGCAGTAGCTTGAGACCTAATCGAAGGTACAAACATTCTAGATATTTTCAACTTGGATACCTCTATAAGGGTCCTACTTAAACTGTATCCGTAGTCCGTAACATGTCTCAGATGGCAAAGTTGTTCCGTAAAGCCGACACATCCAACCGTTTGAAATTCCAACGCCTGCTGTTAGCGGGATGTTTGAGCTCAGATTTGCTGATAAAATGAAATGCTATGACGGCATGACCACTTTTACCCAGGCAAGCCGGGATTAAGCGACCTTCAGTTAGACATTCTTGGTTTTTAAATACGCAGTCTAAGCGCGACATTGCTGTCAAAGGCTGTATTTTAGGAAGTTCGAGCAACTAGTTTAACTCTTCCAAGAGCGTCCTATCATTTTTGTTCCGCAGGTTAAGGGAAAGATCAGAACTGTCTTCAAGGCTTATGATTATGAGAATCATCGCGGACTGGGATTGTTTTCCCACGTTTTCCGGCACGTTCAGGTTGACCACTTTGTTGTTCGGTGATTGAATTGCGTTTCCGATTCCTATGCTCTTTGCTGACCGGTTGGACAGTCTTAGGGAGTAGACTGTACGGCTAAATCACCAGTCGATTTCACCACAGAACCTGGGATGTTCTGCCTCTTATACTGTGACACCTGGTATTTCTCAACTTTATTGACGGGGGTTCAATCGCCTACAAAGTTTTTGGGGACCACCATTGCAATCAGAGACCCTGACCTGGGAGACAAAAGTTTGCTGAGGGAGTCCAGTACTGTCGATGTTATGATGGCGCTGAGATTTAGCATGTTCTTATTGGTTTAATTGCATGCTCCATCTATACTAGCTTTGTCGAGGTCCCTTTTTTATCTTCACTGCGCACCTTTTTCAGGTTTACTGACATTTTCCGTAGACCTGTCAAGAGAATGGAGCTGCTCGACAAAACCTCAGCATTCATGTTCCACATGCCCACCTGCGATCCTACCTACTATGTCTGTTGTAAGCAGTTACTGTAAGATCCATGCATACTTCGTGGAATAGACCTTTGCATTTGTCACACTGCATGCCAGAAGTAACAGCAAAATGACAGCCAGGTGGCCTACATGAATTCTCCATGACTATGGTGATGTAAATTGTTCAATAGGTCCTGGCAAATATCTACGACCCTTAAAGCAAAAAAAATGCATACCAGAAACGGACAAAATGGATAAAAACGGGTAGTACGAAAGGTTAGGATATACTTAAAGTAGCATTAACGTAGATAACTGAAAAAAACCGGATGGTAGGCTGAGGTGAAACCACAGTCAACTATTAACTTGTGTTTATCTAAAAAAGAAAAGTAATCCATCGAACATTAGGCTCAATATAGATTATTTGGATTAAAAATGGAGCTTTCGTTGCGTAGGAATACAGCAAAAATTTGATAAATACAAATCACATTAGCACTAAAATTCTCTTTCTTGAAGCGACACATTCAAAAGAACTTTGGTCTGTGAAATCACCATTGCCTGGACTAACGAACGCCGTTTGGCTTCCTGTCCTTTCCAGGTTGAAACTGGAAGTGAATACTAAATACTACGAGGACACTCCAAAAAAGTTCATAAGCCGAGAACAAATTACTTGTCAGCTGACTATCGACTTTCCCATCGAATCATCAACGAGTGGAATTCACTACCTCAGCACGTGATTGAGGCTCCATCCGTCGACTCTTTCGAAAGAAAGTTGGATCAAATGAGAGAACACCATTGCCAGGACTAACATAGGCCATCAAGCCTCCTGTTCTTCCCAAACTGAAACTGAAACTAAATACTAAATCGTTGACCTATAGAAAGTCATTGATTGACACCAGCAGAAGTCTAGAAATTACTAGATGTTTATCTCTTCATATTACAGAATAATGAGTGACAACTGCAGAGCAAATGTAAAGAAATAGTTCCTACCTTTGAAATAAAGAAAGATTGGATGTTGAAAGTCCAAAAACTGAAATTTTTTATGACTAGATTCCGCATACCAACGTAAAGTGCGCCGTGTTTGGAGTTGTTGCCCAATGATGTCTGTGGTCATCTTAGCACTCATAGTTTTAAGTAGTTTTTCGCTAGCTTCGAGTAGTAGAAATAGACCAGGAGATTTGGATGAAATTCTTTATTTACCAGGCGCTTGGCCACAACCGAATTTCAAGCAGTTCTCTGGATATCTCCATGGGTCATCTGATAAGGTCAATATTCATTACTGGCTTGTCGAAGCTGCTTCGTCACCGGCGTCAGCTCCCTTAATTGTATGGTTAAACGGTGGGCCAGGATGTTCTTCATTAGAAGGTTTACTTACTGAAAATGGTCCTTACCTCGTGAGTTTTTTGTGTTTAAGTTCTATAATTCGGATAACGTTCAGTGTGATTAACTTGAAAATTATAAAAGCCTGCTTGAAAGTTTGACAGCTTCCTATATTTATAGACTTATGGCTCCTTGATCAAGGACGGAGAAATTTATCTATCCTTTCACTATTGTAACTTAAGAAATCTGCGGTATCGTACAGTAAAAAATATTTTCTTACTGTAAACGAATATTTGCATAGCAAGTACATAGCTGACAACATCAACCCATAGTTGGTGAAATAGTTGTAGACTGATTGCCATGTTGTTGGTATGATCACTGAGCTAAGCCTATGTGTATCTTAATCCTCGCAACATTATTTAACCCTTATATTCAGTTGTAACCTAAATAGACAAATATCAAGAATTTTTCACATATTTCGTCTCAAGATACAATGGTAATGTGAACTTTAGACAATTTGCTTGGGAAGTTTGAACTTGTTAGTTGTAGTCCATAATTGTACAAATGTTATCCTGTCGGTTTTATAATTCGTGCACGATGTATTACTTAATTGAAACATCATTTGTAAGAATAAAAGGCTAACCAATCTAGGTAATCACGGCGGTTTGCGATGGACCTATTGTGGTTTCTCGCTTGAACTTTCAAAAGACAAATATTATATATATACCAGTAGTCCAATAATCACTAATTCCTAAAATCAATCAAACCAGTATTGAAACTTAAGAAAAACGCTCAACTACGCTTGAATAGGTTTTTTCTAAGGTCGAATTCACAGTAACAGTTATTACTGTCATTTGTTTTGACTAAATATGTCATGAAAGTAGATGAAACATTCGTAATATGAGTAGTATGATTATATATATTTTTTCAATCCAACCGAAAACAGTGGCATTGCCATCATCAACAAATTCATGAAGAGATACTGCCACAAATGTTGAATTTTTAATTCTTGAAATCGATATGTGCATAACGGTAAAAACTTTGACAACTAAATTCTCACATTGTAATGTATTCACGTTATGTTTCGTTCTAAAATCTCGTTTTTTTTTAATATATCCCTGGAGTAACAAAAAAACATGTGTAATAGTCTACAATCTTTGTATATCTACTGGTGTTGAGCTATGACTAGCAAATTTTAATTTTAATACAGCTAATTAAATGCGAGATGCTATTTTTGGCGAAAATTTTTTGGTGTTATCATCCGTCATTTCGTTTGCGATGTTATTGTAAATAATTCCAACTCAAAAATTTATCTCGAAATCTGTCACTCTAGAGTTTCAAAATTTTCAGTCTCCTCTTTCGTGAATGAGATGAAATCCAGATTCAAATTCCCAGAACCTCTGACAATTACAGCCTCGATTTCCTTTAGAACAGTTCAGAAATAAGGTCATTTTCCAAGATCTCTTGGTTAGCCAATAATCATGCTCATTATTTTTGCTTAACTATTTGCCTCACTAGGATACGTAAATGAATAGAAACTGCAGCTACAGTACAACCTATTAGTTTTACTATAGATGTGTTTCAAAGTTGCTAATGTTGGTTGTAGGGCTCGTCGCAAAGACTTGGTATGTAAACTAAAAAATGAAATCCTTATTTGATTATTAAGGAAAAGCATCGTCCCATAAAATCAATATCATGGTACTCAACTGCAATATAACGTTCTTTATTGTTTTTCTCTCCCATTTCCAAGTTGTAACGATAATCAAAATATGAACGTTTAGCATCCCTATACAATAATTTGTTGATAAACATTTCACGTTTTGTGTTTTTGTATTGTGTGTGGGAAAATTTCTTCAGAGTATTGGCATTTTTAGAGTCAACTAGGGCGCAAATGTTTGAGGACATGTATTTGCCTTAACTATGGCATTTACTTGGAAATCCCAATGTGAAACAGTTACTTTGGTATCTTATTACTTTTCACTTGGCCAGATACCAGTTATTATCTACACTTTTGTTATCAATTATATCTTTTTCAGTCACCTCCTTAGCAATACATTCACTATCCACTTACCATAAACAGTCATCACTCCGTCAGTGTTGATAATGTGTGTAGCAATTAATTTTTTTACGGAACAAGTCAGAAGTTAAATAACTGATTAAAAGTACGCACTTTGCATATTAACTAATGTGAGATGCTATTGTGAAATTCTGTCTATTACCCTCGAAAATATCTAGGTCTTATATCCACATCACTAATGGGATTCCGCAACTTGCGTTAGCTGAATTGAAATTCACAAAAGTTTATATAACAACAAAATAACAATGTCATATGTCTTGGTTGGATGGACAAGCCTTCGTCAATCACGCCTATCATATACATCCAAATGCACTCATGGTTTACCACTGACTACATATATATTCCTGTTATTTGAAGGAAGAGGATTCGTGGAGTGATTTAATAAATGCCTATAAGGCTTAAACTTGGTCAATCCTTCTGCTTCGATGTGTTCCATGATCCCTGACTTACCTGTTGCGACCACAACACCATATGCGAATGGGATGAATCTGGGATTCTTACATGTTAGTGCTTCTTAAGTAAAATAATGACTTTCGAGAGTCTAGTATACGACAAATGTCAGTTGCGTGTTTCCTTTGAAAGTAAATTTCTTCAATATGGCTGTTTCGTCTACTTAGACACCGAGTATCTTGAATCCACACCGAATCGGATTTTGCTCAGGTTTTGAATGGTTAAACATGTCTAGAATTCCATGATTCACTACTTCGTCAACAAAACACTTTAAGTTGTGCATATTTCACTAAGTTTTCTGATTTATATTCAGTCTGAAAATTAAGACTCATTCTGCATTTTTATGAAGTTTATGTAGAATCTCGGATGATCTATCAAGTACATTCATAATGAATAACTCAGAAAATAAACATACGAAAGTACTGCTGTGATCGTTTTCTGTAAGGTAGTTTTGTAGTCTAAAAATGGTTGGTCAGGCTTCTGTCTGGATTGTTACCTAAAGCCCTAGGTTATTAAAGCCTGTAAGAAGTTTTCAAACTTCTGACTCCAACGTGTACGATCTCCATTTTCGTTAAATGTGGTAATTTCAATGAAAGTTTCGTCATTAATTTCTGATCTTAAAGTTAACTTGAGTCCATTGTACAGATTCTTTTGAACCCTAAGTTCACGTAGATGATAAAAAATATGTTGACAGCAAATTTCGAGACCGTCATTTTTATCGTAATTAGCCGTCACTGTATATTGTACGCCTACTGTTGCAAGGATAAGATGGTTCTTAGGGGAAGAATTAGTCAGCTTACAATCATGATCGATGATGATTTGATTTTCATCTTTCCATTTCTTAGGCGTCGTTTGTTGTCACATTGCTATATGAATATTTAACCTATGTTACCATTCAAAATAGAACTCCCCATTTTTCATCAGTATCTCGTTTTATTCCTTCCTTTTATGTACTCGTCTTTCCAGCTCCAGGAAGGACCTCGTCTCGTGGAAAATCCATACTCCTGGAATAAAGTAGGTCAATTGTATTTTTATTAATTAGTTTAATATTCAAAATATACCCTAGAGCTTTTATAAGTTTATCTGAAATGATCTTAATCGCTTTTGTTGATCAATCCAGTTGGTTTACTCATGATAACAACCATCAACGTCCTTATCAGCTCTCTCTTTGCTTATTTGCAACTATAAGATGCAGCTACCTTCAAAATATCACGAACTAAATCATTTCAATTTTTCTCATAACCGTTCACATGCTGTGTTAGGTTCGTCCTAAGGCCTGCGTAAGAAAGGCACGTCATTGTGATCGATCCTGAGCCATATCACCAAGAGTCTCCAACCATTGGTTACGAAAGTCACGCGGACCACAACCAAGTAGTCTGCATCTACCAACATGGCTAAGACTAGAAGTTAGTGACTTCAAGCACTGATGCCACATTTTGGTTTGGCCAACCCTAACTTTCTTCCAACCATCCCCTACACCGGTTAGCATTGCACGTCGTGGTAATCGGTGTTCAGGCATACGCAACACGTGGCCCAACCATCTCAGTCGATGAAGATTCACAACCTCATCAACCGATTTACCATCATTCCCTAATACCCTGCGTCTAACCTCACTATTACTTACCCGGTGATCCCAACAGACGCCAGCAATATTTCTAAGGCATCTGTGGCCAAATACTAGTAGCTTACGAGTATCTCCTATTCTTAATGGCCATGTTTCGCTGCCGTAAATTAAAACAAAACGAACTGCCGCGCAGTATACTCGTCCTTTTGTTGATAGACAGATATCTAGCCTTCGCCTGTATGTATGTATGTGTAGGAGTGAATTAATTGTTTGTTTTTGTATGAAGGTAAAATAAAAGTACAAGTTGAAGGTTGAAAAATCGTTTCTGAATCATTAATGTATGAATGAACATGGATAGTCTGAACAGAAAGGATGATATTCAACTAGCTTTTTTCTGCCAAACCTATGGTAGGTATCACTGTACCATGAATTTTCCATTAATGTTTTGTTTAACAATCTAACATCATCATCAATAGCGTCATTTATACAAATACGATCAAGCCTGTTAAATAGGCATCTTATCAAACCCCGTATGCATTGCACCGCGCAATAAATGTAATACCTAAGGTATTGACCTGTCCATGTTAGTTTTCTAAAAATGGATCGCTTGATTGAGCCATCTTCTCGTTTGCTTAGGGGTATATCTAGGTAGAGAAGCTGGTCGTCCTTCTCCTCTTCGCATGAGAGACTGATGTGGTTTAGTTACTGCCCCAATTATTTGAGCAATATTAATCTAGCCATCATGTATACAACATGAGTACTGATGTTTTTAGATAATAATTAGTTATTATATTGATTCCTCACTCCTAATTACTTCGAGAAAAAGACATCCAAACGTGACTGTCAATTAACATCATAAAAATTCCTCCAATAGTCTTACTAGCTGTAAAGTCACAAACAGGCAGCTCAAAAATACCGTGGGAGAAAATCAGTAAGAAAATAGGAACAGTGAACTATATGCAAATTATAGGAGTTGGAAAAGAGAAATAAATGACGAGTGTAGTGTTTGAGATCCAGAGTGCAGTAGTGACAATGTGGTCGATTTTAAATCAATTCGTCAGAACAGATGGAATCATAAATAACACCACTTATTTCATTTATTGAAGATATTAAACTAAGAAAATATGATCCAAAAGTTCGAAAAGATACATGTACTCTTTTTGGTTAAATATATTGTTCACGCTGAAGCAACTACTATCACAATTTTACGCAACCTGTTATCATCTGGCCAGTAAATGTATCATCTTAATCCTACATAACACATGTTGCTAACTCAGACAACCGAACAGGCTTTAGTTAACTATCTCAAATCATCGAAAATTGAATATTGATATATATGACTACTTTGTTTTAGATATGATATTCACAAGCCAAAACGGAGTTGTAAGAATAATTTATTTTAGGCTTACAACTCAGACAATATGACCGACCGTTGTTGGTACCTTGACGTGGTGGTCGGGCATGCCTATCGTGATGAAGCAACCGAGCTATACTGGCTGGAACAACCGTTCTTTAAGGTCCTACCATGTCAGACAGGTCGGTTGAAGAGCGGTGAGATTAAAAGCAACAAACCCAAGGTCCGAAGGTGAAGTCGTACTGCTGACTGTAGAGAGGTGTGACAGCAGTAAGGTGTTTCCTTCGGACGCTGACAAAGTGCAGAGTTTTCTGGTAGCACTGAGCAACAATGCCAGAGTGTTTGGAATGCGCTTCTCTCCCTCTAAATGCAAGTTGTTGCTTCAGGACTGGGCTGCGTCAACACCTGAACTAAGGATAGGGAGTGAAGTAGTCGAACGCGTCGACAACTTCACTTATCTTGGAAGTCTGATCAGCCCTAATGGGCTGGTATCGGACGAAGTCTCAGCACGGATTCGAAAAGCTCGTTTGGCTTTTGCCAACTTACGTCACCTTTGGCGAAGGCGAGATATCCTTTTATCAATAAAAGGACGAGTATACTGCGCGGCAGTTCGTTTTGTTTTAATTTACGGCAGCGAAACATGGCCATTAAGAATAGGAGATACTCGTAAGCTACTAGTATTTGGCCACAGATGCCTTAGAAATATTGCTGGCGTCTGTTGGGATCACCGGGTAAGTAATAGTGAGGTTAGACGCAGGGTATTAGGGAATGATGGTAAATCGGTTGATGAGGTTGTGAATCTTCATCGACTGAGATGGTTGGGCCACGTGTTGCGTATGCCTGAACACCGATTACCACGACGTGCAATGCTAACCGGTGTAGGGGATGGTTGGAAGAAAGTTAGGGTTGGCCAAACCAAAATGTGGCATCAGTGCTTGAAGTCACTAACTTCTAGTCTTAGCCATGTTGGTAGATGCAGACTACTTGGTTGTGGTCCGCGTGACTTTCGTAACCAATGGTTGGAGACTCTTGGTGATATGGCTCAGGATCGATCACAATGGCGTAGGTGCATACAGTCTTTGTCTTTCTTTAAACTAAGAGATTAAAATCACTGCATATCTTTCTTTCTATTAACTAATCCTTTCTTCCTATACTATATCCTTATATGCAATTTTTTTCTCCTATATATTACCACCTTTGACCTAACCACTCCTATGAATCCGATGTTCATCTTGCTGTGCTAATGCGGTATGGCAACTTGGACCGATGCATATATGTGCCTGGTCCTACGTTGTAGCTGTCTGACTGATTGACATACAGACACACACATACAATGCATGTAGTCATTTATTTTCTTATGCTTCGCATATAACTTATTCGTATTATCCTATTTACTAAAGTCAGCACCTAAATATGATTAAATTTGTGCAGTATAGACTTGTTTTGATTGTTAAATGATATATATTTCTTTGATGATCTTGATTTCGATTATCCTACCCTGACGAAGTTTAGACTAGTTTGCTGAACGAAACGTTGCAATCATTATATTTCAATCTCTAAGATTATTTCAAATATAATTTTCATATATACTTTTTTATATTCGGCACCCAAATTTCGTCAAACTATTAGCCCTAATATTGACCAATATTCGTGCACATCAGTACGCACGTTTTATGTATGATGGCTAGACTAGTGTTGTTCAAATGATTGGGGCAGTAACTACTAAGTTTTTAATACTTTCAGTAATAGGAACCCATAGTATTGTGTTACACGTCACAGCTTCACAATGTATCCTAAAAATTGAGATTATCACCTAAGTATATACATGGTATTCTGCATTTGTAAACCGTTTTCCCATTTGATTGTCTTATGCATACTTTAAGATTATCACAACATATAGTGGACATATTATTACTGTTTGTAAATGTGTATTATGTTGAGTAAAAACAAATTTCATCAATTTTCCCACGTAAACTAAAACTGTTTAGTTGACCTTATTTTGTTCTTCTTTAGATTGCTAATGTTTTGTACCTAGAGGCCCCAGCTGGTGTGGGATTCTCTTATTCTACTGCTCCATCTCAAACATGGGATGATGATCGAGTAAGCACTATGTTTTTGTAACAGATGGTTTCAAAGTATTGCTTTCATTTCTGTCCTTTTCACTTTCAACTTTTTAAGATGGAAAAGTGGTGTCATGAATTTATCTAACCAACCATCCATTAGTTCATTTGGACTAATTATTTTCTTAGAATTTACATGTTGATGTCATTTATCTCATGTGATTTAGCCAACTAAACGTAAATATTTCTTCATACTCGGAATACGTTCGAAATTCCTACCAAACATTGCATTTGTGTATCGTTTAGTTCTTTTTTGGCAAGCTCCACTTCCATACTGATTTGTCAGTAGCTTTTCAACTGTTTACCAATTACAACTTGTTCAAGATAATAGACTACATCAATCTGTTATTTAATACAATCAGTGACCATGATATTTAGCTATCCAAATTTATAATAAATAGTGGTTATGGATTCATGAGGCATTTAAAAAGCAGTTTTGTATTCTACTTTAAGTATACAGGAAAGTTTCATACAATCGGTTCCCTTTATGAATTTGAGTAAAGCCAGAACAACAATTGAGACAATAATATGAATTCTCTATATTTTTTGGTTTCTCATCAGCTACTTACAACCATATATGTATTAGAAAGTAACATTGAGGTATGGTATAATGTGAAACAATCGATATTGATGACGAGAATTGGAATGACAAAGATTATCAATAATAACTATATATATATAATGTACAGTTGAAGGTACTGAGAAAAGAGGACCTGTCAATTTTTGGTTGTTTGACGTAAGATCGTCAGTCTTGCTGATGGATTGGCAACCTTCAACGCATTCACCAATTTACATGAACGTACAAAGGCACGTACATTGGAAAAACAGAGAAGACAGTACATGTTCACATTTCCGACCACGTTCCAAAGAACTTGAGATTGAGAGGCGCATCGGCTCTAAAGAATGGAAGAACTCGGCATTTACTTGATACCGGGTATACTATTGACATTCTACAAGCCTTCGAAAGTATTAACAGATAAAACAACGCGGCGTCTCTTCGGTTTGCCAAAGTAATAGCAATAAATAGACTCAAACCTGATTTATGTATTCAGAAAGAGACAGTAATAAACTTATCACGACCTTGGTAAATTACTTCTGTCATTATCACTATTTTATTAGTGTTTATTTTGTTACGTGGTCTTCCCTCAACTAATTCTTATTTCAGGTACACCAAAACAATCCGTCCATTAAAGTCTTCACATTCACTTAATTCTCTTAACTTATGTAAACTCTTCAAATCCTGTTCAATCACTACGTAACTCATCGATTTCTAATTCCTGTAATCTTATGTAAAACCTTCACAACCTCTAAATTTGTCACACAATCCATCGTATCTGTCTCCGGACCTTATATAATTGATGCATCACCCACCCTTCTATGCTTTTGAATCCTATCTCCAAATGATCTCTAACCTGTTCTTGCACACATATATACATATAAAGTTGTTATTGATAATCTTTGTCATTCCAATTCTCTTCGTCATCAATATCGATTGTTTCATATTATATAATACCTCAATTTTACCTTCCAATACATATATGGTTGTAATTAGCTGATGATAAACCACGAAATATAGTGAATTCATATAATTCTGTTTCAATTGTTGTTCTGGTTTTACTCATATACAGAGAAGTTTAGGTAAATAATTAGTATTGTTGAGCTTCACACGAGAAGCTGTCTCTTATTCTGCTGGTTAGTACATGACTTTTAAATCATCTTATCACAATTACTATTAGTATCAGGTGTGTATGTGTATGGTGGTGCGATGGGATAAAAGTTATCAAGTCACTACTCATTCATGAATCGTCTTTCACATCTCTACTAGAGGCCCCTAAATGCATTCAGTGTGCTGATGCTATTAGGCGATTTCGGATATTTTGGCTCCAAATAATCATGCGTTTCCCAATCTCATGGAGAGAATCCGTTGACTTTGCTACTTTGTACCAAATAGCATTTAATAAAGATCAAACAAAGCTTCTTACTATTCACCTGTAATCACCTAGTCAGTGATTACCGAAGTAAAATATAGCCTTCAACTATCTAAAATAATAAGTGTCTTTTGTCATCTATCAACTCTTGCTTTAAAGTTTCTGGTTTTTTACATTCATGCATATAATTTTCGCGTTATTATAATCAAATTTTCTTTCGTTCAATTTTCATGTTAAAAATAGACTGCTTTAGACAATTATCATGCATTGCTTCATTTCCTGAAAAAGTTCCCCGAATATGAAGGACGTCGTCTATTTGTTACTGGTGAAAGTTACGCCGGTGTTTACGTGCCAACATTAAGTCTACTTCTTTTAAATTCATCAAGATTCGACTTCAAGGTATAGTTAAACATTTTTTTAAAAAAGGGACATAGTTATCATTATTCTCCAGAAAACCAGCAAACAGTTTTTCTTGATACCATGAACCGATATAAGTTAAGCAACCATTGAGAACCTAAAGGCACTAGACGGCCGTTTCGTCTTAGTATGGGACTTCTCTGTAGTGCACACGACTGAAAAACTGGGAATCGAACCCAAGATCTTCGGTTTGATGAGCAGATGTTTAACCTGTAGACCACTGAGCCGGGATTCAACCGTGTACAAGTCAATCAATCCACGAAACTGCATGACAATCTTCCCTTGTTGGTTTTCTTTTACGTTTATCCAGTTAATAATCATGTTTTCAGTATTAATTACCTGGTATAGTTGATGTTGTCTTGGTGAAAATTAGTCATGCCTATTGAGAATATTCGTGATATTATTTGTTTGATGAGTTTATAGTTAGGGCCAGGAATACTCCCTGATTTCATGTGATCAATCTACACGAAAACACTCTTATATAGCGGTCTATCGCACTGCCTTATTGTCCCAACAAAATGTTCATGTGACAAGGAGAACACATGAGTCAATTTCAGCAAAGCTAGACGTCGGTTGACAGATAATTTGTCTAGAAAATTTAGTAAACTCAATTTCAAACTAGTTGTATATATGAGTTTAATTATCCTGAAAGAATTAGTCGTCTATAAACGCACTTTGATCATTGACTACCATGGGAATTACTCCACTGTTTTGTGCATTAGATCTTGAGGTTGATAACTCGACAGTGGCCTCCTAAGATAATACTGTACTTATGTTAAAGCGGCTAAACAGTATTACAACCTTCACACAAATCATGATAGTTCCAATAAGGAATATGAATAACTTCCTGTACAGTAGTAGAAGGTGAAAAAGCGCATCTATCCTAGAAACCTCTGAAGTCTTGATAGTTTTTGAATTTCTGGGGCTGTAATATATTGTTTTATTGTCTTTCGTCTTCATTCAAGATCATATCTTGTTCATGATAATTATAAATATAAGGTGAAATACTAATCCATATGTATATGACAAATATATACATATTTTTAATTTGAAATGTTGATTAGATGTACTAACAATTTCGGACATCTCGATTACATGTGAACAATGGTTACCACTGAATAGCAAATATCAATTCCTTAGATAGTTAGTTACAAAGCACATATTGGTAGTGAATGAGTCCCAAAATAAAAAATGCAACACTTACTAAGTTGACTTCTTAATTTCAAGTAGTTGTTAAGTGCCAAATTGTCTGAAAAGCCTGAAGAATCGGAATAAAGATCTCGTTTAAATCGTTTCTACAATTTTTAGTGATATTTTTTTTGTATTAAACTAAAGAAAAACTACATCAGGACTAATCAAATGTACAAAACTAGTATTCACTTAAATTTGTGTTGACAAACAAAAGATGAAACCCTGACCATAACCAAACCAGATAAAGGAGGAAGTATAGTTCTCATGAACAAAAATGATTACATGGGAAAAATGGAAGCAATGTTTAGCGATCCTAGCAAATTTCAGATAATTACTAGTAATTGTGACATCAATATTTAAGTAGAAAGACAATTGGCCGATTTCCTTAAAGATCTAACGAAAAAGGGAATAATTACGACTGAGATTTACGATTCAATTAAGCCGACTGGATCATTTACACCACGATTGTATGGTTTGCCTAAAGTACGTAAATCGGGTCAATTAGGTCGTCATCAGGCTTTACTCTAATATACATGAATATTTATACGAAAATGTTGAAACCAATCAAGGCAATATGAGTCAATAATCACAATGAAATAGAATAAGTCACTACACATAAAATAGGTAAAAGTACAAGTTGATAGTACGAAGACAGGTGAACTGATACTAGTAAGAGTAATAAACTACAATAACAAAACTCTTATCAATAGTTAATCGTTGGCAATAGAAGGTCAAACAAACGTGGGTAAATAGACTAGGAATAGTCAACACCAAAACATTAAAATCATTACGTAATAAGATGTGTGTAAATAATCAGATAGTGAAGAATACAAACGGAAAGAGGCGGAGAATTACAAACAAATAATGAATGCGGAAATAAGGTTACCGATAACACAAATAGAATAAAATAAATAAATAATGATAATAATAAAATTTAAAATAAAAATTTGTTAGTTAAGTTATAACTGGCCATGGAAGGGATAGGGGGGTCACGTATTTCTTCTGTACACATAAATTGGGGTTATATGTACGAATTCCAATGGCTTCAGCTGTATGTAGGAGGCGGGAACGAACTCCGTCGGGAAATGATGGAGGTATACGATAGATAACTCGAAATGATTTCGATTTATCTATAGCATGACCGCTATCAATGATATGTGCCAATATAGAACTGCGAATAGATTTTATCTGGCCTTTTACGTACCAAGTTGGTAGATGTTCACTCATTCGTTGGTTAAGTTGCCTGGTAGTACGCCCTATATAGCTATCTCCACAGGAGCAGCTGAATTTGTAAATGCACATAGAAGAGGCCAACTCAGGTAACTTATCCTTCGTTTGCGTAGACATCGCTGGTCGACAAGAGAAGGTCAACGCAAGATTGGCTGCGTAGAATGTCCTGGTGATTACTTTAGTTAACCTATATTTCAGAGTATCACTAGCCACATCCCCGTTGAATTGTACTTTCATTTATAAAGGTTTCTTACGAACAGTCGAAATCTCCGACTTCTTTATTATGTCATACATGTACTTCTTAATGAAAGCACTGGGGTAGCCGATCTCGGTCAGTGAGTTGTTGATAAATTCAAGCTCCTGACTTAGAGTATCTACTGTACAGATCTTTTTTTGCTCTGCTAGTGAGACATCTGACCAAATTTCTCTTGTAACGGATAGATGTGAAACTGCAGAAGTGAGTATATTGGCATGAAGAGGAGTTTCTTCTATAGACGCTTCTACTTAATGTGCCGTCACTTCGTCTGCTTAGTGTGACGTCAAGGAAGTTCAGCTTCTTATCATGCTCGCTTTCACCAGTGAAAGTGATCGCTGGGTGAACACTGTTGAATTGTTCTAGGAGTTCCTCCTTACTGCTGTTTTGATCTACGATAATGAAGGTGTCGTCAATGTAGCGGCAATATAAATCAAGTTTCTAATTAGTCTCATTGAGAGGTCCATTTTCTAGCTTTGCTAGGGAGAGATCAGCTAAAATCGGGCCTAGAGGCAAGCCCATGTCTATCCCGTCTATTTGTCTATAATAAGTATTGTTGAAGACAAAATGTACATTCATCGTGCATCTTAGGAGCAGTTCCCTTAGGCTATCGTTAGGCAGGCCAATGTTGATTTGTTTCTTTGATAATTGCTTGCATATAAAATCAATAGTCTCTATAAGTGGTACGTTGGTGAACAAAGATTCTACATCCAATGAGATCATATTTTTCATACTGACATTAATATTTTCTACTTTGGAGGTGAAGATGAAGACATCTTTTACACTATTTCTAACAACTGATTTGTGTAAAGGTTTTAAGATCCGTACTAGCCACTTTACAATTTTGTGGTAAGGAGAATTGCACATATCTAGAACTGGGCGTAGAGGAAGACCCGATTTACGTACTTTAGGCAAACCATACAATCGTGGTGTAAATGATCCAGTCGGCTTAATTGAATCGTAAATCTCAGTCGTAATTATTCCCTTTTTCGTTAGATCTTTAAGGAAATCGGCCAATTGTCTTTCTACTTAAATATTGATGTCACAATTACTAGTAATTATCTGAAATTTGCTAGGATCGCTAAACATTGCTTCCATTTTTCCCATGTAATCATTTTTGTTCATGAGAACTATACCTCCTCCTTTATCTGGTTTGGTTATGGTCAGGGTTCCATCTTTTCTTAGTTTCATTAAAAAGTCTCGGTGCTACTTGGTTAGTAGGTGATTTGTGGTACCCTTACTATTCTTGTATTGTTGGCAGCTATCAACTAGTGTGGTTTTAAACCGAGCAAGGTCCTCCAATGAGGTAGGAATCAAGTCAGTTGTTTGTGAAAATAAATTCTCAAACTGTACATCAGTATCTAATTGGTTGATTCTATGTCTACTATCAGAGAATTTAGGTCCCAGAGATAAAGCTTCTAGCTGTATTACATCTAGTTCCATATTGGAAAAATTATGTACGTACCGTTTCGTGTCGAAAGGAAACTCCTTTTCTGGCTTTTGGTTTTCCAAAGTTTTCATTAGTTTCGTCAACGTTTTCTCATATCTGTTCTTGGAAATTTTTCCCACATAATCCACAAACAATGACTGAAGCTTTGAAGGAAGGTTTTTAACGGAATATTGTCTCTGAAGAAGATTCCTTTCGAAGTCGCAGATATTCATTTTTAAAGTACCAATTTGATTCGACGCATGTCTTTCAAGCGTTTTTGCATTAGGATAGATTCGGTTACGACTATCAACTTGTACTTTTACCTATTTTATGTGTAGTGACTTATTCTATTTCATTGTGATTATTGACTCATATTGCCTTGATTGGTTTCAACATTTTCGTATAAATATTCATGTATATTAGAGTAAAGCCTGATGACGACCTAATTGAAAACAATATTGTTCGCTTATATGTGTTGTTCTAATTTTCGCAATGGGAATCTTTAATAAACCGTGCTCTATCAGACGACTCTAACTTAAATAGCACCTGCCTATGGAATTCACCTGTGTGATCTGACTAATTATGTCTTTTTCATTAAGCCTATTCTTGAATCGTAATTGTAATCAAATTTCAGTATACAAAGCCATTGAGTAGATAAGTAAATTTATGTATTTGGAAGTAGTATAACCAGTTATTCATAATTACCATATAGAGCCTGTCACAAATTCTGTGCATTACGCCAGGTTGGTACCCCACATCGAGACGACGAGATGAAATTAAGAAGTCAAATAGCAACGTAGTCAAAGTGATCGAAACAGTAATGATAGTGATCAGTACTAAGTATTCAGAACGTGGTTCCAGAAGATGGGATGAAACTGTATTTATGAAGGAATACTGGAATTTGAAAAAAGAGTTCGATAGAGGATGAATACGTATCCCTCAGTATGCCACTTAACGTCTCTAACCACTGATCACGGTTATCTCATGGATTCCGATTGACTAGTCTGTACTCAATAAAAAGGCTCAAACCAACAGTCACTAATTTCATGAACTAGTATTATGTTTTGGTTTAGTCTACCTTCATATAACCGAGAATAACTATGCTGGTCGTAAAGTATTCTACAATATTTCACTTTGATCAGTTTCATCAAAAGTTAAATATCATCATTTTTATATTCATGAAAATGCTGTTGTAATTTTAGTCCAATAGTTAGTTGATGTAAATCTTGAACTGTTCTGTCCTTCTTTTTCATTTGTAGGCCATTGCTGTTGGGAATGGATTGATTAATTACAGATTCAATGATAATTCTCTTTTGTATTTTATTAATTATCATGGTTTGATTGGTGAAAAGTAAGTAATCATTGTGTGTATGTATGAATGTGTAAAAGTAGATATCAGTTGAACTGTCAAACACTTCTATAATTAGTATTTGTTTAAATAATAGTGAAAATTCAATCTCCTATGAATTGTATTTGTTCTCATGATTAGTTTTACTTATGGAAATGAATCGTTACGATTTTTATGTAACTTTAGGTTTCATATCGTTGTTAATGCAAAAAGTTAATCTAGTCAATGCATAACTTCGTAACTTTATCAATTGAATCGTTCTCTATTAAAAAAAAAAAGAAAATACACATTGAAAGCCTCATGAATTCAAACTATTTAACGGACTTATTTTTTTCAGATATTTAACCAACTTCTTCACAATTTGACCATTTTGCATTTCGGATACGATTCACAAAGTTCAACATAAAGTTCAGTGAAGGGATCTCTTTTCAACGAATTGATTATCAAGCTATACAATCGTATATATATGAAATTTTTTTTTTGTTTTTTTTGTAAAAGTACTAATTCCGTGAGGAAATGTGAACACAATGAACCAAGATGATGTAATAAAAAAGGGGTTATAATACTAGATTATGTAATACGAATAATAACAATAACAATAGATTTAGTGAATATAATAAAATGATTAAAATGATTTTGTTATAATAATTACAGGTCATAGAGATGTAAAAAGTACATAAATAAGGTGATATGATGAGCATTTACGAATAAAATAATGAGAATATAAGACATAAGTAAAGGGGGAATTACTTACTTACTTACTTACTTACTCCTGTTACTCCTAATGGAGCATTGGCCGCCGACCAGCATTCTCCAACCCGCTCTGTCCTAGGCCTTCTTTTCTAGTTCCATCCAATTCTCATTCATTTTACTCATGTCTATGTGTTCTTTGGTCTTTCTCTTTCTCTTTGGCCTTGAAGATTCCATGTGAGAGCTTGCTTTGTGACACAGTTGGGAGCTTTCCTCAATGTGTGTCCTATCCACTTCCACTACTTCTTCCTGATTTCTTCCTCTGCTGGGATCTGGTTTGTTCTCTCCCATAGTAGGTTGTTGCTAATAGTGTCTGGCCAACGGATCCGAAGTATTTTGCTTAGACAACTGTTAATAAACACCTGTATTTTCTGGATGATGGCTTTCGTAGTTCTCCAAGTTTCCACTCCTGAGAGTAGAACTGTTTTGACATTTGTATTGAAAATCCTGACCTTGGTGTTGGTTGACAGTTGCTTTGAGTTCCAGATGTTCTTCAGTTGTAAATATGCTACTCGTGCTTTGCCGATCTGCGCCTTCACAGCTGCATCAGATCCAGCGTGTTCATCAATGATGCTGCCAAAATATGTAAAGGTTTTTACATCTTCCAAATCTTCTCTGTCAATTGTGATTGGATTGGTGCATGTTGTGTTTTATCGAAGAATCTTGCTTTTTCCTTTGTGTATATTGAGACCTACTGCTGCTGAAAAGGGGGAATGCAGTTATAATAATGATAATAGGATAATCAAAATAATTGAGTCCAAGGTAACGATAATGATAAGACGTACTTCTTTTGTACGCATAGTTCTGGTTTAGGCTCCTGGATGGTAAGAGCTTCGGCTATTTTTAAGAGTTGAATACGAATAAATCGGGGTAGATTTAAACGAATCACATAAACAACCTTAAAATCAATTTATGGATCTGTAGAATGGTTACAGTCGATTAGGTGTTCAAGTATAGAACTCCAAACTGCTTTCCTTTCGCCCTTATAGAACCAAGCTGGTATATGTTCTCGTATCCGAGGTGAAAGCGAGCGCTGACTACGGCCAATGTACCTTGCTCCACAAGAGCAGGTGAACTGGTAGATGGACATGAAGGTGACCAGACGCGGGAGCTTATCTTTTATGGATACAGAAAATAAGTTCCTACTAGTGAAGTTTATTCTCAGTTTAGCCACATTAAATGTTCTTCTAATCGTTGTTGTTAGACAATTTTCGATTACGTCTGATGTTCTATCACCTTTAAATTTCAGACTTAGATAAAGGTTTTTCTTCGGCATGTTGTGAGATCCAATCACCGAAATTCAACAACAGCGTAACAGATGGGTAGAATACTTCGAAGAGCTCCTGAATAGACCGGCTCCAATGAATCCACCGAACATCGAAGCAGCACACATAGATCTTCCTATAGATGTCAATCCACCAACTACGGAAGAAATTAGAATGGCCGTCAGACAAATCAAAACCGGGAAAGCAGCGGGACCCGACAACATACCAGCTGAAGCACTGAAATCAGACATCGAAGCAACCACAAGCATGCTTTATCTTCTATTCAAAAAGATTTGGGAGGAGGAACAAGTGCCGATGGACTGGAAAGAAGGACACCTCGTCAAGATTCCAAAGAAAGGAGATCTGAGCAAATGTGAAAACTACAGAGCCATAACACTACTGTCAATACCAGGGAAAGTTTTCAACAGATTGTTGCTGAACCGGATGAAGGATGCAGTAGACGCCCAACTTCGAGATCAACAAGCTGGATTCCGTAAGGATCGGTCGTGCACAGACCAAATTGCAACACTACGGATCATCGTCGAACAATCAGTTGAGTGGAACTCGTCACTATACATCAACTTCATTGATTATGAAAAGGCATTCGACAGTATAGATAGGAGGACATTATGGAAACTTCTTCGACACTACGGAGTTCCTGAGAAGATTGTCAATATTATCCGGAACTCATACGACGGACTACAGTGCAAAGTAGTGCATGGAGGACAGCTGACAGATGCATTCCAAGTAAGGACCGGAGTCAGACAAGGCTGTTTACTCTCTCCCTTCCTCTTTCTTCTGGTGGTCGACTGGATTATGAAGACCTCAACATCTGAAGGAAAACACGGAATACAATGGACAGCTCAGAATCAATTATACGATTTGGACTTCGCAGATGACCTAGCCCTCCTATCACGTACACACGAACAGATGCAGATGAAGACAGCCAGTGTAGCAGCAGTCTCTGCATCAGTAGGCCTCAACATACACAAAGAGAAAACTAAGGTCCTCAAATTCAAAGCGGAGAACAGCAATCCAATCACTCTGGATGGCGAAACTCTGGAAGATGTAGAGTCCTTCACATACCTGGGAAGCATCATCGATGAACAAGGAGGTTCAGATGCAGACGTAAAGGCGAGGATCGGCAAAGCAAGGGCCGCTTTCCTACAATTGAAGAACATATGGAACTCAAAACAACTTTCAACCAATATCAAAGTAAGAATCTTCAATACGAACGTCAAGGCAGTTCTACTGTATGGAGCTGAAACTTGGAGAACTACAACAACCACAATCAAGAAAGTACAAGTATTTATAAATAGCTGTCTACGCAAGATACTCAACATCCATTGGCCGGATACCATCAACAATAGCCTTCTGTGGGAGAGAACAAACCAGCTTCCAGCTGAAGAAGAAATTAGGAAAAGACGATGGAAATGGATAGGACATACATTACACAAATCGTCAAACTGCATCACGAGACAAGCCCTAACTTGGAATCCTGAAGGGAAGCGGAGAAGAGGAAGGCCAAAGAACACATTGCGTCGGATAATAGAAGCAGATATGAAAACGATGAATTACAACTGGACGGAGCTAGAAAGGATTGCCCAGGACAGGGTTGGATGGAGAATGCTGGTGAGCGGCCTATGCTCCTTTACGAGGAGTAACAGGCGTAAGTAAGTAAGTAAGTATGTTGTGAGATAGGAACTCACTGAAGATAATGGTGTACGGTGGCACAACTTCGTGGATTGCTTGAAGTTAGACATTAACACCGTTGGATGCCGGCTCAGTGGTCTAATGGTCAAGTGCTCGCGCGCAGAGCCAGTAGGTCCTGGGTTGGAATCCCGCGGGGTGCGGGGTCATGGATGTGCGCTGCTGAGGAGTCCCACAATAGGACGAGACCGCCGTCCAATGCTTCCAGGTCTTCCATGGTGACCTAGCTTCAATTGACTCGTGACTTCAACTAGTGAAAAACATTTTAATCGTTTTATTATATTCACTAAATCTATTGTTATTGTTATTATTCGTATTACATAATCTAGTATTATAACCCCTTTCTTTATTACATCATCTTGGTTCATTGTGTTCACATTTCCTCACGGAATTAGTACTTTTACAAAAAAAATTTCATATATATACGATTGCATAGCTTGATAATCAATTCGTTGAAAAGAGATCCCTTCACTGAACTTTGTGTTTTAATTTTAATGTTTAAATGGTAATTATCTGTCGATTCACAAATTCTCTAGATATTATGACTAAAGAAAGTGATCTACACTGTTGTTAATTAAATTAAATTGAATAATCACTTCTGAATTGGCATAAAACATTTAGATAAACGATAGAGCGTAAAACAACAGGATAGTCAATATAGAAGTTTTAATTGTAAGGAGTTTTAGTAATGTTTTTGATAGTTGTAAAACGGGAATGAAAGAAGCTCATTTAAGGTAGGATAAAATTGCTATACCCTAATTTTTGTCAAATAATGTTTTTCTGATATAAGTTAGCGTATATATTGAACAAATTACTACAACTCTACTTGTACACAAGTTGGTTGCTGAGAGATACGTTTAATTTAATTTTTGCAGTTGTTTTTCGGGGTGGGGTGTGGTAGTATAATTGAATGTGATACACTAACTAGCGCCCCCCCTGGACTGTTCAATATTTTATAGTTTAATAGTTATGAAAGGACGGACCAACACTGAAGTCAGAAAGAGAGAGAATACAATGAGCACACTTGTAGGTGTTATGTGTGTTCTTAGAATAAGGTGCTTAATCGTGTGCAAAGTAGTTGTGATTACATACATCCATAACTGTATCCTCTTCGCCTTTCCTCCTTAGTTCATGGAATGATTTAAATAATAAATGTTGCGAAGATAAATGCTCAACCGTTTGTATGTTCACGGATAATGAATCACCTGAATGTCAACGGATTGTGAGTTTGTTTATAGACAGTCTGTGTCTGTTCAGTGTTTTTATAATTTATTTCATGTTCTGTTTGTACAATGACTTTTAGTATGGGTTTATTTTTTTGGTTGTTTTACAAATATGTCCTTATTACTTACACATTGAACATGTAGTTTGTTTCAGCTGAACTGGGCATATGTACTCTACATGTCTCATTCATCGCCTCCACCCTGACATCTATCAGAGTGGCTAAGCTAAAAGTGTATAGAAACTGTGTTAGGAGACCGTCAAAGAGCTTCATAAAGCCACAGGCTATTTAACTGCACCATTTTCGTAGATGTTTCCTGGCTTCCTGGTTTGATAACCTAACTAAAAAGAGATCACATTTCTTTAACGATACTTTTGATTTAAAGCAATATTTTTATACGTTACTATCGTCGTGTTTAATAAGTTAGCTATAAATACGTTCAATCTTTTCACATACCGGGAAGACCTTTTATCTGCACTCCCTGTCGAGATGCTCTCATACAAACACGCGTTTGGAACCTCTACTAATGGAGCCTTACTGACAAGGTCCACGTTGCGGCTGCGTTTTTTTACTGACGGAAGAGGACGAAGAGTGAAAGTATGGGATTTGAAACGTGTTGAGAGGTACGTAAGCTCCACTCAGGGTGGCTTTTGCCCTATTAATATATGACGTAATGATACCACCTATTAGAGAACAATGATTTGTCGACCGGACCAATGACGCATAAAACCTGTACGAGCAGTCTAGAGTCCTTCACCAGTCCTGCTTCCTGCTTAGCCCTCTGTTAAATCCAGAACACCAATCTCAGCCTCTGCAATATGAATCATTTCTTTCAAACATACTGGGTTTATATACAAACCAAACAGACCACACCGTATCATAAAATAGAAAGCAATTGCGCAAGATATAGCCAAAAGTGGCTGTGAGTGTGGGAGACTGTAATGAACAGACTGGGTATAACTGAAGAACGGTAAATCGGATAATAATATTTTATGAGTCACAATAAAGCCTATAATAAGAGGAACACGAATATGGATAGTTTAGCTAATTAACAATTATACAGTAAAAATCTATGTAACGTATTTGTCCATAAATGGTTCTCAAAAGTTGACATTCATAATTCACTTCATCATATAATAGGCGGAAAAGCCTAACTCCAAACCAGTTGTGTTACTTGCATTCCAGTATCCCAAGGAAATGGATAGAGTATTAATTTGTTTTGGTCACCGACTACCATGGGATGGCACCTCCTGTTGTCCTCCCACCACCTTGTAGATAAGACCTCTAAGAAATCTCCCTCCAAGCACAGAAATATGTCAACACGGACAACTGCATTTGCTTGCAGGCTGATTGTTTGACCAATAAATAAGACTATGGAAAAAATGAGCATACTTATACACTGTTAAATGGCCATTATATGTCTACTAACTAACGACTTCGAATCCAGGACACATATTTTAGTTCTAATAATCTTTTGCTAATAGTGTAGTTCATGTTGTACTATTCACTCTATTTACTTTTTCAGTAGTATATGTAGCTGTTATATTATGATCTACGTTGTAATGTTGATGATTCCACTCTTGTTTTTGGTTGTCCACTGACAATCAATTTTTACGAGAATCTATTTACTATTCTTAAATTCCTTTTGGTAACACACCATACCATAATAAAGGTGAAATCTGTGAATCCTTTTTCTAGTTTCTTACAACTATGTTATAAACAGAATGGGGATTTATGAAGATTGTAGTATTTTCAGAGTTGAATTCATGAGTCACTGGATGGCCTGTGCTTCCAGGTTTTCATTGGTGATCTAGTTTAAATCGACTCATGAATTCAACTATTAAAATTGTGTTATTGGTATTTTCTAGGTTAGTCAACTATATGAAACTTCTATGAAGGGATTAAATGAGTATAATTTATATTCTGAATGTGCTGGTGGTGCTGAAATGTCATCTTTCAATTATAATCGTTCATCAATGTCTATATCTGAGTTTTCTTCCATTCTGGCAACATCTAAGCAATTTATTCATCACGATTTCGGTAATCTGTTTCGTGATAATGTCTATCTGAAATATCGCCGTTACGCTAAGTAAGTCAAGTTTGAATATATATATATATATATATATATATATATGCACGTGTGCCTGGTCCTACGTTATAGCTGACTGACTGTTTTGATTGGTCACCGACTGCCATAGGACTGGATCTCTTAACGCTGATCCATTGCCTTGTGTATTAGACCTCCAGATAAAATGTTCGGGATGTGACCCCCTAAGGAAACCACCTGTTTTAGGTTTGCGTACCCGAGTAGTATCTCAGCATACACACAAATTTATTGATTTATATGGAGCATATATGTTTTGGTACCCGTTTGTATCAATGTTTATATGTTTAAATAAATATACATATATTTCAATAAACGTGCTTGTTATAAACCAATAGAGTGAATACAAAGTTAGATGACATTTTCGACTTCAAATAATTATTTCATTCAATAATATACAGATTACAACGATTTTTTATTTGGAATTGTCCCAGTCCTTTTATTATCATTACATATTGTTATTATTATTATTATTATTATGCTTATTTGTGTTATGACTTTATGTCCGGCTTTTTTATACGTGGTTTATCCACGAATTAAAACACGACTTACACAATCGTAGCACTGTGCCAAACCAATGACGTTCGACCGGTATGGGCAACCTAGCGTCCTTATCGGTCCTATGTCCGCTTAGCCCGTCCACTTGAGTCCAGAATCTTAATACCAGCTTCCACTATGCAAATCTAATCATTTATTTCAGACATACTGGGTTTATATATCAACCAAACAGACCGCAACGCACCATAAAATAGAAAATAACATGTGTACACAATAAAGTCAAAAAGTAGTTGTGAACATGGGTGGCAGTAGTTAATAAACTGAACACAGCTTAACAACCGTAAATCGTACAATAATAAATTATAGATCAAAGTACAGTTGATAATAAGAGGAATATAAATATACATAATCTAATTATTGAATAGTTATACCATAAGAATATATAGATAATATTAGTCAATGAATATGTCTCAGCAGAAGTTACTCGTGATTTATTCTTTGCTCGGATATAACAATTTGTATTTGTAATGGTTCATCAATTAGATTCTATATTGTTCATGAATAACGAATACTGTTATGCGTGTACTGGCACACTCCATGAATACATTAGTAGAACTGTTTGTTTGTGTTGATATGTGTGGCGGTATGTTAAATAAGACAAATGCCTAATTTCAACATTCACTATGTCAATCATATTCAAATCATTTTAACTATCAATCTATATGTAAACTATAAACCGAAATGCTATGAAATGTGATAGATCGTTTGTTTGTCGTATGTTTAATACACCTAATGTAATGTTAAAGTATTGTCGATAGTCGGTTTATTTATATGACCATCTTCCTGCAATGATGTTTTGAAATAAAACTTTTATATTGATTATTGAAGAGATAAACCATTATCGTTCTAAGTATTTCAGATACGTGTTACATATATGTTTAGTTACTACTCATCTCGATGTTAATTACTGACTGACATAAGAGTAGTAGGCTAAAAAAAGCTAAAAGTAATCATCCGAAGTTTTTACTTCTTTAATGTTGCTTTGTTGGCCGATAAGTTGATATGTTTGTGCTTCGGGTTTTTATTTCATAACTCCGATTTGAGCACGCCTGTTACTCCCAATGAAGTATAGGCTGCCGACCAGCATTCTCCAACCCAATCTGTCCTGAGACATCCTTTCTAGCTAATTTTTTTCATGTCTCTCTAGTTCTCGGCGTAATGTGTTCTTTGGTCTTCCTCTTTCCCTTTGGCCTTGAAGATTCCATGTGAGAGCTTGCTTTGTGACACAGTTGGGAGCTTTCCTCAATGTGTGTCCTATCCACTTTCACTTCTTCTTTCAAATTTTTTCCTCTGTTGGGATCTGGTTTGTTCTCTCCCACAGTAGTTTGTTGCTGATAGCATCTGGCCAACGGATCCGAAGTATTTTGCTTAGACAACTGTTAATAAACACCTGTATCTTCTGGATGATGGCTTTCGTTGTTCTACAAGTCTTTGCCCCATACAATAGAACTGTTTTGACATTTGTATTGAAAATTCTGACCTTGGTGTTGGTTGACGGTTTTTTTTGAACAAGCATTTCATGTACCTAAATTAATGGTTGCTCTGGTTGTCAGAAAGGTCATCAGTCTCATGTTTTCTGAAGGAACTCGGCTTTCACCATGAGGCGTCATAACTCTTCTAAATGAAGACTTTCTAACTCCCAGGGCAGAGTTTAAATTTACAACACTTATACTTTGTTAAATCAAATAATTAGTTAAACATTTAATACTTTTCAGAAAGTCACTCAACGGTGTGTGTGTATTCTATTAAATCACATAAATAATCACTAAGATTGTACTATTACAATGAAATAAACATTTTAATGTTATAATGAATGAATAAACAGAATTGTATTATAGAGACAAACTCCCTTCTGCCTTTAAAAGAAAACGATTATGACCCAAAACCGATCATGTTAATAAATGATATGATTGACTAATTAATGCACTGGGTGTATGCTGCCCAAAATGGCGGGTGCAAATGTTGAATATCGGACAAAAATGAGTTAATTCAAATTATTGCAGTCTTTCTTACAGAAAGAATAATTCTTTAATTAGTCTTCGAATTTCCTGGTAAAAGACTGAATCGATCATAGGTACACTTATTAATAGTGTGCTGAAATGTGACGACTAAAACAAAGACTCGAGATGCAATTTATTCAATCATACTGATAATATTTAGTGCCCAGGATTAATATACATTGCTCCAAGTTGCCTTATCATATCAGCACAATTACGAGAAATTCACAAGACTGACAACACACTTCATCCTCCGGGCGTTAATCATTATAAGTTTGTTTATTGACACATGGATCAGTACAGACACCAAAAAATATGAAGCTAGTGTTTATCAATTAATCATTCTGTAGTATAACAAGGAATAAACAGAACAGATCTAGTTGATGACAATTTCACAACGGTAAGGAAATATCTCAAGTGAAGATTTACGACTAAAAAAAAAAGCCAAATAAAACCAAGAAATCCTACGATACATATCGTTATTGTCTTTCTGAATATAACTAATTCAAGATATCACAACACAACACTCATTGATAGTAACGATAATCCCTGTAAGTCTACAGTTCCAAAACTCTTACTATTCAATTCACCTATCTCTTTTTCTCTCGTTACTTTCAATCTTTCGTAACTTCCGTTTTTTGTTGTTGATATTTTAGTTCTTTAATACGTCATAATCTGACTACTCGTTTAGTTGTACCATGTGTAGATGATACAGTGATTCGTAGTTATTTAAATTCACCAATAGTACGTCGATTTATCAATGTAAGACTTGATTTACCGAAAGAATGGGATCTTTGCAGTGAAACAGTTAACCTCAATTATGTTCGAATTTATCATGATCTTACAGAGCAGTATATGAAATTACTTAAATCCAAGGTAGGTTTATTTTTGTACACACTTTTAGCTTGTGCTATTTGTTTAATCAACGAGACCTATCTATATAGTACAGGTTGAAGTAACCGGCTCTCTGAGTTACAATGCAATTGTTTACATAAGCTAGTGATACATTTAATTAGTCACTGAGAAGTGTCCAATGTGAATGATTAACCAATTGTAGATTATCCATACTTAAAAGTGACTAGTTAGGGCTCTAATAACCATATGGTAACATCACAAATTGTGTAGCTGGATGACATGGGTTCGAATGTTTTATAAACTATACGTTCCTTGGAGGTTACAGTTATGTGTTGTTGATGATAAGGGATAATTTGTACGAGACCTGCATTAAACAGGATTTCCTCTTGACCCCACCTCCGATCACCTAACAACCGGCGATACGATACGATATCTGGTTGCCCTAAACTCAATCGGATAGGGCTGTAGTCGGAACTTGGTTGTTTAACCAATGTTCAGCGAGAATACAGTTGAATCCCGAACTATCAAGTCGTAAATTACTCAACATTTTGTTACTGTGTCCTTGATTTCACCGTTAAATGGAATGGCAACGAAATGAATCGATATTCTGGTTTGTTGCTTCCATATAGAATTGTAAATTTCTTTTCGAAGTTTGGTTTAGGCAGTGCCTGTTATCGAAGAAGCGGTATGTGTGTGTGTGTGTAAAAGAGCTGACGAGGGATGATGATATCAGTAAAGAACGATCCTACCACAAAAATGAAAATTGTTTGTAATATTGTTTTTTCTAGCCAAAAAGATATTGTTATTCTAATGGTGTAACCCTCTCAGTTTGCATTTCGGTTGAATTTACCGTCTTCAATCACCGAGATTTTACCCTATGGAATCAGAGGGAGAGCTGACTTTCAAAGTATAAAAGGACTTCATTGATTCTAATGAAAATTTGTGTGATGGTCAAAGTTGTCTACTATGTAACCAGCTCGCAATACATTGTTTGACTCGCTTCGACTTTTGCGGCAGGTTTTAACCACACTCTTGACGTTACATATAGAACTACGCTATAATATCCGACGAGTTTACGAATCTAAACTTGATTAGTGAGCTTCAGTTAATTATTTCAACCAATTTGATTTGCTGAATGTATGTGCATAAATATAAGAAAGCAACAGTTTATTAACATGATTTATTTGGTGTAAGGAAATTGTACTTGGTCATCTCAAAATGTTGTCCACTTCGTAACAAAAGTGTTGTGAAGGAGGAATTTAATGATTAGAACGAACAAATTTTCGGTAGTCGAGATGAAAGAGAAGAATGTTGATCGATAGATGATAATATACAGTGATATGTTGTAGTTGCATGATAACTGCTAATGAGACCTGTTGGGTTCGCTACTTGATTAACGCAGAATACGGTTACACCTACGACACTCGAACGTTAGAACTTCACTGTCGCAAATCAGAAGACCGAAGGAAAACTGGAGAAGCTTTTACTTGGTGAGAATCAAAATGTACAGAAAATCACATGTATTTATAGATATTAACGTGCTACTGACCAATAGTAGCATGCCACGTTGGTATTCTAGAAAGCTTCATCATAATCTGATTAGTTGGAAACCGTTCGGCTCCTTTAGGGCTTCTGGAGTCTTCGTTGTAGTTCTCGGAAGCCGACTCAACAAGATCAAAATACTGACTACAAGTAAGTTCCCCTCATGATTGAACATCAAATTATTTTATTCTCACAAAATAACATATTTATGTACAAAATATTAAACATTTTAACAAAACATAAATGTCAGTATGCGCTTGTGGAAATTTTTGAGCTTCATTGGAATCACGAACGGATCTAAATTAGATAGAAGATTGTCACTCATGTTGGAGCACACGTGTAGACATGGATCATGTTCTAGCTCGAGTACACATTTGTTTGCGCTAAGTTTTGTGATAGTCGTAGACATGTGGATCATCTGAAGACTGATGTTCAGTTTGAGAATCTATTTACCCAAACACAAGACTTAATACTCACGACAAAGGTTGCACATGAAAGATTCAAGACTTCACTGGTTGATTGCTGTAACGAATGTAGAAGCAACAAACACCGCACAAATAGTTTATTGACTGATAAACATCGCGACGCTATCCGGAAACTGAAATCAAATGAGCATATTCTTATCACTTAACCTGATAAATAAATGCGCTCCGGAATTCTAAACAAGACGGGCTACGTAGATAAAATAAATACCCTGCTGGGTAACCAAACTAAATTCCGAAAGCTTGGGTCATGTAATGACTGAACGTCAATTAACTACAGCATTAAAACATTTAAAACAACCTCAGCACATCTGTGAGTATACCTACAATGGACTCAAGATTTCTGGAACACATACCCCTCGACTCTATGGCCTTCCTAAGATTCATAAACCTGAGGTTCCTTTACGCCTGATTCTGGACATGTCAAACTCACCATACCATTCAACAGCGAAATGATTGGTGAAATCATTAGACCCATTACACCAAGAATTGGTTAGGCACAGCGTTAAAGACGTATTGGAATTTGTGGACACAATAAGAAATCTGAATATAAATGGCAAAACTTTGTTATCACTAGATATAACTTCTTTGTTCACTAACATTCCTATAACTGAAACTATCGATTACATATGTGAAAAATTGCTAAAAAGAAAATAGAGATACCGATCCCAGAAGATATAACATGGAGGAACTTTTTTTAAAATGTACTATGAATATCAACTTTGTTTAACAATGAATTTTACAGACAATTAGATGGAGTAGCAATCGGATCACCCGTAGGCCCAATCCTTGCTAATATTTTTCTGGCCAGACTAGATAATGAACTGTTGAAATACATCCTAAATAAGCTAGATTATCATTGTCGATACATAGATGACACACTAATCATATGTGATGAAAATATGGACAAGAAAGAGATGTTGGACTGTTTCAATAACGTCTATCCAACTATTAAATTCACCAGCGAAGAGGTGAAAAACAATAATATAGCTTTGTTTGATGTCCTACTTTCTAGAAGGATAGGCGGTTTTATGAAGCGAAATATATTTAGAAAGAATACATGGACGGGTAAGTATACCCATTTTCAAAGCTTCACATCTATTGAATACAAAATGAATTTAGTTAATTATTTCACCCATAGAATCAAGCTATTATTTTCTGAGTATAGTGTAAACAGAGTAATAGATATACCAAAGAACGCATTACGAAATGAAGGCTACGCGGATGACTTCGTCATAAAATTCCTAGTACAAGTTAGTGAAAAAAGAAGAGATTGTGATTCAGTCAGTAAAAATCCCTATATCTGAAACTGGACATAGCGAGTGGCATTTTAACACGTCGACTGAAAAGGACTGTTGAAAAGACGTTTCACGACGTCAAGTTACGTACAATTTTCTCAATTAAAGCAATACTTACACAACAAATCAAGGTTAGGTTACGGATAATGGGCTCCTTCATGTATGTATACCAATTCAACTGTTGTGGAGCTAGTTACATACGCTTACTCAGAGGGCTTTATCCTTGCGTGTTCGTGAACATGTACCAGCGTGATTCGGAAATGGAGTTAGTAAATCGATCAACAGTACTATTCTTACTCAGCTGGTAGATAATGAACATCATATCAAAATAGTAGAAGCATTCTCTAACCTCTATGTTCACCTTGAATCACCAGTTACCTAAACTGGATATTATAAACCTCTTAACCCTCTCATTTGTTTGACTACATCTATCTTAATCTTCACATTCATCTTTCCCAATTCACATGATCCCTTTGTTATTGTGAATACCTTGATAACACATATAATTTTGAGATGGTGGAGAAGATTTGTAGCTCAAGTAGATGATTTTGATGGAGTTTTATTCTCTGATCTGGATGGTTTAGTCGTGGAGCTTTCATCGTTCTTCTGAACGATATCATCAGCACAACTAGAATCAATCAACATTGAGGTGTACAGAACAAACTATGAAACACTTCACTTCTATCTGATGTTTGTGCTGGTGATGATATCGTTCAAAAGAATGATGAAAACTCCACAATTAAACCATCCAACTCAGAGAATAAAACTCCATCAAAACCTTGATAACACTCTTCTTATTACATAGTATATTCACACAACAATATTATTATTATTACTATGATCAATTATTACCTTGAATTAACAAGATACAATTCTCGTATTATATATTTTATTCACACCATTTGTTTATAATTTTCATTGTTGTTGTTGTTGCTATACTCCTATTGTATTCTGATTAGAATTTGATACTTTCGTCTAAATTATTTTATGATCTTTATAATTTACAAATGAATACAATTTAGATGTATTTCTGTTCATTATCTTAATAATATGCCTTATCTATTGACCTTTGTAAAATATCATTAATAGTTATAGACTTTATAATTATAAAGTCTAATCTCATAATGATGAGATTATTGTAAATAATTGTTCAATCTAAAAAATTTGTTTAGATTAATGAATATAACAAAACTATTGTTTATTGAAATGTGTTACCTTTAAGATCTGATATTAATCAACATATACTTACTAGTGACTGGCTTCACAAGGTATATCCTGGAGTTCTAGTGAAAAGTATTGACCAGTGAACTTCAACTAGGTCTGTTGTGAAGAAGACAATCGTGAATGTGTCACTAAAATTTTGTGGATTAGTTGAAGTTAGACATTAACACCGTTGGATTTCAAACGGCCTAGTAGTCTAATGGTTAAGCGCTGGCACGCGAGACTTACAGGTTCTGGCTTTGAATCTTACGAGTCGGGATCGTGAATGTGCACTTCTGAAGAGTCGCACAATAGGACGAAATGGCTGCTCAGTGATTCCAGGTTTTCCATAGTGGTCTAGCTTCAACTGACTCATGATCTTAACCACTCAAAAGATTCTTTATTTTTATTTAAATTTGTTTAGATTAATGAATATAACAAAACTATTGTTTATTGAAATGTGTTACCTTTAAGATCTGATATTAATCAACATATACTTACTAGTGACTGGCTTCACAAGGTATATCCTGGAGTTCTAGTGAAAAGTATTGACCAGTGAACTTCAACTAGGTCTGTTGTGAGATAGTAACTCACTGAAGAAGACAATCGTGAATGTGTCACTAAAATTTTGTGGATTAGTTGAAGTTAGACATTAACACCGTTGGATTTCAAACGGCCTAGTAGTCTAATGGTTAAGCGCTGGCACGCGAGACTTACAGGTTCTGGCTTTGAATCTTACGAGTCGGGATCGTGAATGTGCACTTCTGAAGAGTCGCACAATAGGACGAAATGGCTGCTCAGTGATTCCAGGTTTTCCATAGTGGTCTAGCTTCAACTGACTCATGATCTTAACCACTCAAAAGATTCTTTATTTTTATTTTTTGAACAGGAATTTGTTTAGATTAATGAATATAACAAAACTATTGATTATTGAAATAATAGAGATTTTCAACTAGAAAAGAACATTATTTCATAAATGAATGAGAACTATTTTACCTTTTCATTTGTAGATTGTTATTTTAATATATAATGGTGATATTGATATGGCATGTAATTATTTTGGGGATGAATGGTTTGTGGATAATTTAAATCTAACGGTATGTTATTCAATGAAAGAAATACTATTAATAATGATAATAATAGACTCATTGTTCACATTAAATAGGAAAAAATATCGATTAACATAGTTGGATGCTGGCTCAGTGGTCTAGTTGTGTTAAATGTTGGAACGTGACGCCTTAGGTCCTGGGTTCGAGTCCCATGTGTGAGGTCGTGAATAGACACTGCTGAGAAGTCCTATACTAGGATGAATTAACTTTCCAGGTTTTCAATGATATTGTAGCTTAGATCAACTTGTGATTTCAACTGTGAAAATATTCAGATAAGACAACTGATTGGAAAAGTTAAATGTAATTGTCGTTATTCAAATAATAAGTGATATTTAAAATGAAATAATGAGTTTAGTTTTACTTATTAATTATTAGTTGCCATAGGACAGCTAATCGTATTCTATCTCTGTTATTGATACTATATGGTCATATATTTAGGGCTTCGACTGTTAGTCTTTCTTTGTAGGAAATTAAGATATTTTTGAGGGACTCTTGTGCCATTCAAATCAATTTTATGTCCCGACTCTATTGAAAGTTTACAAGAATATTCATCTACCTTCATATCTTACATTAACTCAGCACCAAATACCATGAAACTATTCACCCAAACATAGGCGTCCAAATGCCCTGGTACGGCCGAGAGTGGGGAGAGTCCGCTCTCCCTCTCGAAATGCTCTCACAAGGCCATGCGTATATAGCCTCTGCCAGGGAAGTCCTACTCACTACCTCGTGGCGGCGGGGGTGTTGTTTACGAAAATGAGAGGACGAAAAGCGAATGTCCGGCGTTTTAGCCGGATTCCAAACCAATGGTGCACATGGGCTACAGTATCATGCGGGAACAGATAGCGTATGAACCAATTGTTGGTCAGCGGCTTCCATGGGACTGCATCTCCTCACGATGCTCCACTGCCTTGTGGATCAGACTTTCAGGTCGAAGGCTGAGGGAGTGGTTCCCTAAGAAAACCTTCTGCTTCGGTTTGGGCACCCGGGCAGTATCACAGCCCTCACATATATCGAATGAGATTTGTGTGGCTCATATGTATTTGGTGCCTCCTTGTGTTAAAATAATAATAATAATAATACTCTCTCTGTCTTCCGTTAATCTGTTCTACCACTGTAACTGCTTTGGCAGATACATATAAATTTGTATACACAGTTGGTGGTAACATGAAAGGGATACCTGTCGACCTTTGATTGTATCAAAGAACGTGTTGTTTTGGACAGGATAATCACTTTAGCTGCAGGATATGTTTTTGTCAATGCAGTTTTTAGTCTCATATTGATTGATCCTGTGACATAGTCACCTTTGAATTTGAGTTGAATAAAAACAGGTTTTTTATTTACTGTAGTTTCTTTGGATATTTTATCTTCACGTTTTCCATATTTCTCAATAAATCTCAATGGGTATCCGTTATTCCTTAAACATTTTTAAAATTCATAACTTCCTCTTCTATTGTATCGGCAGTACATATTCTTTCTGTTCTATGAAACAATGTTTTGACAAGTGCCTTTTTATAATTGATTGGACAAAAGCTGTTGAAATTGAGATAAATCCCATTCCATGTGTCTTTCTTATAAACTGAGCCACCTATACACTAAAGGATTCATTTGTATTTGCTGACAGCATGAATCATATAAATATTGCTGGTAATTTTATGGTTTCTTTTGGTGTGACATCATTGTTTATAAAAATACCACTTCTTGAAACCATAGACACAATTTGTCAACATCCTGATATCCTACCTCTACCAGCAATAGAATTCAAACGACAATCACTCTTGTGTACAAAAGATGTTCAGTTCCCATTCAACAATACTATATACCGACAAACCGATGATGTAGCAATGGGAAGTCCGTTAGGCCTCGTCCTAGCAGACATTTTCATGGCTAACCTCGAAAGAACCAAGCTCAAAGGAGCGATTGATGAAATGATGTATTATTCGAGGTTTGTTGATGACACTTTCATCGTATATAACAATCAACAACACGCAACAAATCTGCTAAAATTTTTCAATGAAGCCCATCCAAATATTCATTTCACTATGGAACATGAAAAAGAGAACAAGTTCCATTTTCTCGATATCACGATGAAATGAAGAAACGATGACAGAGTTCAACGCTCAGTTTATAAGAAAGATACATAGAATGGGATTTATCTCAATTTCAACAGCTTTTGTCCAATCATTTATAGAAAGGCACTTGTCAAAATATTGTTTCACAGAACAGAAAGAATATGTACTGCCGATACAACAGAACAGAAGGCAGAGCCTATGTCTGATTCAAAGAACATATTCCGAAGGGTTTGAGATCAAACGAACTAAAAGCTAAAAGCATTTAGCAGCGCTATCGCAAAACATCTCCTTGACACAGGACACGAAGTCGATATACTGAAGACTTCAACATTGTCTCAGTTAAACGTGTATCCACAATTATTCACGTATATTGTTGATATAAGCGATGATACATCGTCACGCTTGACCGTTTACTGGTGTTCATATGCATGAAAGTGATATGGGACACCACTCTTCGCAATTTGTTAGTCTTTGTTGCTGAAGCAGTTTACTTTTTCAGCCACAATGTTTCGGGTCCAAACCCTGCCCCACCCACTTCCTGTTCAGGAGGTGAAACTGTTTTACTAGCCCTTACAGAGTATGGTTAGAAGCGAAGTATGTAAATTTGTGCCTAATAATCATCCATACAAATAGATTTCTTTATCATTATTTCAAATTTGTTGTAAACCTCTAGACCATATCTCCCCGTTCACCCTGGTTATATGTTGAGAAAGACGGTACTAAACAGATCGGCGGATACTGGAAATTGCTATCAGACAATGAATCGAGTTTGGTGTATACCACTGTACGAGGTGCAGGACATATGGTGCCACGAGATAAACCTGCTGCAACGTTTCACATGATTCGTCTGTTCATTGACTTCAAACCTTTTTAATATGTAGTGGATTTTAACACGAAACTTGACCAGCTGTCTATCTCCCTACTTCTATTTTTGATTCTGATTATTTTGTCATAAGACGCTACTGTTTATGCTCCTTACCATTGTTATATTTGTAATTTTGAAAAGAAAAATTGAAAATTGGCATGCTTTGTAATTGGATGCCCCAATCTTATAGTATCATACCACTTTAATTTTATCTGTTTGTTTTATATTGTCAAATTCGAACTTAGCTACGAGACAGAATTATTGTGTTCTGTTTATCTATATTACCTTTTGTGCTTGATTCCCACATTACGATTTTAATAGTAAGTTTTTGATAAACGTCTGTGATTATTATCGATGGTTCGCAAAACCGTCTGTATGGACGACTGTTTCATGTTTTTGGTGTCTTATTGAGCGACATTGTGATGTTCAAAGTGATGATAAGAGACCTAGAACTCAATACACGTTTATTAATTTTAAATGGAACGATGACTATGCCACTGCTAAATATAATCCTGTTGCGTCAATACGTATTTAGTTCAAAGAACTTATTAGCATTTTCATATATAGCATTATTCGATTGTCCAATTACTTGGCTAACGGAATGTCCAGATTTTTGTCGATGACATATTGTTGAGGAATAACTGTCTAAACTCTGATCATATCTGATAAGTGAGGTATCTCTAACAGTTTTTTCGCTCAGTCAGTCGTGAACAATCGGTTGTTTGCCTGCACTTCACTAGTTAGCCAAGAAACATAGTAGGAGCATGCCATTTCACACTTCTGAGATATGTATGCGATAAGTCTTTAGTTGTTTCTAAAGTTTGTTTACTTTTCGATAGCGAGTTGATGAAATCTACAACAAGAATATGGAGTAGTATTCTGGCGGAACTTCTGGTACGGATATTTTCGTTTTAAAGTCGTCAAACCACAACGATGTGGATTGAAGTAGTCAATGAGACTGAAATGTTCTGATGACATGTTTTATTCAACGAACACCAGAATTCTTTTTCAAGGACTGGTTGCTCCTCGTTTTTGTCTTCCATATCGAGAAGCACTGATCCACAAATAGGTTGAATTTTTATGGGTAAAGAAGAACTTGTTGCAGCCAGCAGTTTCGTAGCTGCGTATTTACTTACCTCTGCTTGTGATCGAAGCCAATTACCTCTGACTCCCTTATTCAATCACTTTTACTTTAGAGACTGATTCATGTTGTTTTATCAAAACACCTTTCAATTTGGGGAATGCCATGACGTCAGCAGTGCTGGGACGAATTAGGTATATACTTAAGGGACGGGTCAGTCATTTCACTCCTTTCTGTTATTCTGAATACCTGCCATTTTGAGCGATGTCAGAAAGATTTGGGCCAAGCGTTTTGCAGTTAGGAGTAAAATCACAATCCCGCATATTGCATTGTACTCTCAACAACCTGTCTAAACACACTTTTTGGGATATTCTCATTAAAGGCAGATACTTCAGACGCATTGATCGATGTAAGCTATAATCCTGTACATCAGTTGTCATCCTAATCGTTTTTTAAATTTAAACTCAATGTATATTATGTCAAACAAGTCATTACCGGAAGAAGGGAGTATAGGAGCAAAGTGTTTTCCCCTCAATTCACATAGTTAAAGATACTGTGAAATGTATACATCGGCGAGCCACAAAATCACGCAAATTCAAGCCTCATAGAGAGCGTCTTAAGACAATGAAATTTTATCCATTAGAGCATGGGCGTTTTGGGCGTGGCCTTTTAATGACTTATGGCATCCTAAACATGCTTGGATATCCTAACAAAACTTAGCAGTAACACTCATAAATTAGGGACTCAACAATATTGCAACTTGGACCGATGCACATATGTGCGTGTTCTTACGTTGTAGCTGACTGACTGAGAGACACAACATATACTAATGAACCGAAGGAACACATTCTACACTTTGCGAGTGGTTAAATTCTGAATTTCTCTGCTTGCTGAGACGGAAAAGGCGACTTTTCGAGAGTCTTTCAAGAGAAAACGTGATATATTCTTGTGGACCCAGAACTGTAGTTCACAATCACTTTCTAATACTTCTTTGTTCTCTCAAGATGATGACTGCTAAGGAGTCATTATGAAGTAGGTTGAATAGTACGAATTGCCATATTGGTCAGTCAAAACAGAAAACCATTTTACCTTTTGTAAAGAGCTGTTCTTGTTTCCAACTATATATACAGAATCTCTTTTTCATGGAGTTTTGTTCTCTGAGCTGGTTGGTTTGATCGTGGATCTCTCATCGTTCTTCTGAACGACATCATCAGCACAAACTTCGGATAGAAGTGAAGTGTTCGAATTTCTCCACATGTGGTTCACAGCTTGTCCTGTACACCTCGATGTTGATTGGCTCTTATTGACCTTAAGTTTGTCATTGTTTACTTCTTTCTTTTGGTTGTGTCTCCCATTGATGTGATTTTTGTTCCTATGTTTGTGCATAATTTTCCTGATTGGTTGATAAATTGGATTGATTTCAATATGTTTGTTGATTGCTGATTGACCTGAGTGCCAGGCTTCTAAAAATTCTCTGGTGTTTTTGGAGTTTCCTTTGTCTAAGATTTCTACATTTTTCCAATCGAATGAGTGTCCGTAGTTGTTCACGTGTATTGATATAAGTGAAGAGATATCATGGCGTTTGACTGCTAATTGATGTTCATGCAGGCGAAGGTGAATGGGACGTCTACTTTGTCCGATGTAGTGTTTTTCGCAGTTGACACAATTCATTTAGTAGCTGATGTTTGATTTGTCCTCTTTTGCCATTTCATCCTTTGGTTTGCATGGGATTGATTGTAGTGATTTTGTCGGTTTGTGTGTCACACCTATTCCCAAGGTTTTCAGCAGTCTCGTTGCGGTTTCCAATATGTCTTTTATGTATAGTAGGGTGATCCTTTTGTTGATTTCTGTGCCTGACTTGGGTTCTGATGATGCGTGCGGATGGTATTTTTTGATGAAGTTGGTTGGGTAGCCGTTCTTTTGAAATACGTCCTTCAGGTATTTCTCTTCATTTTTTCGTGCTGCCAGTGTGTCCTCGCCCTCTTGAACAAAGTGTGTACGCAGTTGATTTTGTGAGCTCTTGGGTTGTCGCTGTTGTAGTTGAGAATTTGATCTGTATGGGTCGACTTCCTCTACACTTGAGTTTCCAATTTTCCTTTGCCGGTTCTAGTGATTAATATATCCAAGAATGATAGTTTGTTGTCTAACTCCTGTTCCACTGTAATCTTGATGTCATCGAAGACGTTGTTGATCAGCTTGTAAGTGTTCTTCAGCCCATCCTTTTTGACGATGACGAATGTGCCGTTCACATAGCGAATCCAAATTTTTGGCTTGATCATAGGTAATATTGAGGCATCTAGTCTTTGCATCACTGCCTCTTCAATCAGTCCTGATACTGGTGATCCCATTGGTGTCTTTTTCGTTTGTTCGTAGATTTTGTCGTTGTTAGGCATAAATCGATGAGTTTTAGTAGACTTTGAATTTGAGGCCTCGTGTACTTTGTGAGATTTGTGTCGTTGGTGAGAAGGAGGGATATAGTTTCCTTTGCCAACCTTGGTTCAATCGAGGTGAATAACATCGTTACATCGAAGTATATCATCAGTTTGTCGTTGTTGATTTGAATGTTCTTAATTTGATCCAAGAACTATGTAGGGGATTTGATGGAGTGGCTGGACGAATCCAGTAAATGTTTCAATATTCGTGTAATTTCTTTTGAAAAATTGTATGTCGGCGTTCCGGGAAGTATTGCACCTGGACGTAGTGGGATGTTTGGTTTGTGTACTTTTGGTCCGTCGTAGAATCGAGGGAGTACTAGTCCAGAATCTCATTAAATTCAAATCGAAACTCGACTCTCACTTATTGAGTTACAGACCTTAACCACACCTTTTCTACTTGAGTTTAGTTCGATTGTATCTGCCACATTGCAGTTGTGGTCTATTTAACTGTTGTTGAGATTTGACTGAGCTATATTGGCTAGAATACTTTTTCCCTTGGATCCTATTATTCCACTTTGGTCGATTGGAAAGTGATAATATTAGAAAAAGCTGGAGGAGAGGATTAGAGGAAATCAACCGTTGAAATATCCCATGGATCTCTGTATTCGATCGTAAGGCCTTAAAATTCCGAGCTAACACATCAGGAACTACTCATAAAAAGCACTGTATAAATAAAATTAAGCGTTCCTACAGAAGCACTGCGGTGATAACCTCAGGTCGGTAAGTCAGGTAACTCAAGTAGAAGTACCTTTCCACGGTATGAGCAGTCGATAAATGTCAGCCTACCTCCTGACCTCCTTTAAACCCGTTGTAGATGGTATTCGAAGCTCTATAAAAGTGTGACAAAGTCAGTTAAACAAATGCGTACTTGTTTAATTAATTAATTGAGTCAGCTACGACGTACGACCAGGCAAATATATGTGGTGGTCCGTATTCGATATATCCCTTAAACTTCGTATACAATTCGTCTCGATAACCGTTCTATTTAACCCCAACGGTATATTATTCAGAAGGCGAATACGAAGCGTTGATTACGTTTATTTTGAGACCACACACACAGATGTCGAAAATTACAGAGGCATTAAACGAGCATTAAGAGTTGTGTCGAATGGTAAACAGGCAAGCGAGCGACTGAGCGAATGTAAGTAATCGAGTACAATCAAGCGAGCGAGAAAGCAGAGTCAGCCATATGAATAACATGGACATATATATAGCATGTGAAATTAATGAGTAATCGAATCAAATAAGCGGTTAGTAGTGAGACTAGCAGAGTGAATAAATGCGTAGGCCGTAAGCAATATTCACGCATGCGTATTTCATACAAGCACAAAATAATAATAAGGGTACAATAAATTTTTATAGTGCGGATGGCTTTGTCCGCTAAATAAGTTAGCAAAAAGGGCTTAACTGAGTTAAATGAGAATAAACCCATTTGCACGTGAGTCGCTATATATATGCAACGGTTGAATTTGTCATACCTCATTAGCACATCA